GAGGAATTTGGTGCGCTGTCTAGCAGATAGAGCAAGGAAAATTTGTAGTGAGGACACAATAGAGGAAGAGCTCCGGTTCTTACGTACTATCTTCACACACAATGGCTATCCAGAACGACTGATTAGTGAGATGATTCAGCGCAGTGGAGATATTGTGAAAAAGACCGAGGTCAGATAGAAGTTGGTAGACATTGCCTTGCCGTTTTTGGGGGATACATGGGCAGAAGAAATACAAAGGAGACTATCCGATGATGTTAGTAATACCCTTTATGCAGCAAAACACAACGTTTTGTTCACTTCCCAGCCGAATGTATGTTTACAACTAAAGGACAAAATGCCGGATTCTGCCGTCTCACTTTGTGGCTACTCATTCACGTATTCTTGTGGAACAAAGTACATAGGCCGCACGGTCAGGCGTTTGTCCGAACGAATCCGTGAACACCATCCGAAATGACTAAACACGGGAACGATTAAGTCACTCACCCATCCCCTATGCACCCTATATTCCGAGTGATCCCAACGATCGGATGACCTAACAATTATGCGATCATTGGGAATTCCATATCCCTAGCCCCAGATAACCCATGAGGTTATTTTCCCTTTCCCAAAACATTTGTTTGCGTTTTTCTGGTTAAATACTGATTTATATATAAACAGCGTAATATTTATTGTGATGTATTTGGCATGACTACGAATCACTGAAAACGAGCTTGTTCACCACTCCTTGTTCTATTTGAAGATGTATGTGCTCTGTGGGACTGTTTAGACAATTAAAGCAAGCAAAGATCCCATCGTATCATGATTTGTTTGCCACACAAGCTGGCATCAGATGTGTGTGAAATATATAGATAATCTAGTGAGGTCGCTTATAAAACTGCTGCTGATCGGGTATACATCCCTCAGTTGCTTGGCAACAAAATCATTTCGGTTTTTTTTTACAATAACCACAACAACAATAACAACAATTAGATGAACATCACTGTCATCGATACGTGTCCTTAGATGCTCATTTCACGATAAAAAAAATCTGCTTTGATTGTATGATTTCCACAAAAAGGCTGACTTTAGAACGAAAAGAAAAAACCAGTGAGGCACACAGGGCGTATTGAACCTCAATCAGAGCGATAAGTGAGTGGGTAGTCCATTCATGAACATAGGTGAAACACTCATGAACATAACAACTAAATACGTTAAACGACTCACCGTCAACATTGCCGGGCTCGGTGATTCCGATGGTCGACGAGCCCATCGCACGGATTTCTGTTTCGGTCCCACACGACGCAAATGATCCTGGCTCGTGGGATCTGACACCAAGTGTTCTTCCCCACTCAGATCAACCACTCTTGGACTCGGTGAGACTATCCGTGGTCCGTATTGATCGGAACTGCGTAACCCGCCGAACAGAACAGGGTTCAACGACGCACTATCATCAGTTGTGGAACTTCCACTTGACAGTGGTATTCGGACGGAGCTTTCGGAGTTCGCCCCGCCAATACCACCATCACCACCAACCCCAACAATGCGTGGTACGGGCCCGTAATAAGCCACGTTAGTCAAATCGATAGGTGCAACAACCGGAGTACCGATGGCAAAGGCAGTTCGACTCTGCGATTGCGGTAATAATGAAGGCCGTCCGATCCAGTTTTTCTCATTCGGTGCATTGACCGAACCGACGGACCAAACGTCCTGTTCCCCAGGCGCAAGCCTCACCACTTCCGTTGTCTGTGGGACTGTGGGATTGACTAGCCGAGAATCCGTAGTTCCCAATAACACATCCGACCCTATGCTACCGAGGCTAGGATTGAGGCGAACGGGATTCAGTGAGCTTTGATCTATTGAGTACACAGATCCGATGGGACTCGGTTTTTGCGGGAGCACCGAACTGGAGTTTGACGGTCCTGACGGTCCTGAACCCCCACAGGCATAAACCTCGGACGAACCGAGATCAAGATTGGTAGCTGGCCTAACCATACCGGGAGACCAAACAGGTTTCTTGAAACTTCCGCTTAGGCGGCGTCGCGTACGATCTGTTGTAAGACTTTCGTGTGATGGAGGCATCAATACCAGCGGTGCTACCGGGGATCGAGGATGTAGCACTGATTGTTGCGGTATTCTGGGTGGGGTTGGTGGCATTACTGGGAATGGTTCGGTGTCTATCACAAAGGTTGGCACAGTCGTACTGGTTTTTCGAATCACATTATCCAAACGTTCCTCGCACAACGCACGAATTTCCATCTCCTCAGCAGATAAACTATCTTCCATCGTGTATGCCGGATACAATGGTCGTGCACCACGACTCACAATATCTGGCGGACCTGGAATAACCGGTACGGAACTGGGCGATGTGCGGATATGAAGTGGTTGTAAATTGTCCAAAAAATGTCCGTCATCTATTCCATTTGGTGGAATTATTTCCAAAGGACTAGATGTCAGTTCAGTTCGTGTAGACGAGTCAGACGACACAAGTGGCTTTTGCGAGTTTTCATCCATCATTCGAACTGGGGTGTATTGCTTAACCAATTCAATAATCCACAAAATTCAGCCACACATAACTGTCTCCGAACAATACACATGCGCGGAAGAAACGGGCATACCGAAGTAGTCGACGCATCTTGATCATAGAGTGGATGAATAACCGAAATGGACAATGTGGCACGTGTGTGCGTGCGTGCGTGCATATGTACGTTCAGATAGAAACATGCACATACACACATGTGTCCTCCCAACCGATTCCGATCACGCCCACTGAACCCGTACGTAGCAGGACTGGGTCGGATGGGGTTGGATGGGGCTGGGGGAGACTCGGAACCACGGTCAGAGTTGAGCTAATGAGAAATGATCAGCGAACCTGTAAACTCGAATTAAGCACACACACACAGATATGTGCTTATTGGACTTTTCAAATTCCGTTTTGAGAATTCCGTTAGTTCGAACTGTCTGTTCGCTTGTCTATGGCTTTGCTTAGTCTGTTCCTATCCATACGTTTGACGGGACCATTTTGACGTGTGCGTTCCTCTTGCCACTGTGAGGTTGTATGTGTATGTGTGCGTGTGCGTGTTTGTGCAGATAAGTTCATGGATAGACAGGTCGGCAACGGTGCAATCGACCGCACGCCGATCCCTCTTGACTGGTGCGGCGCAAAACGCCACCTCCAACACATCATCCCCATCTCTATCATCTGTAGGAGGAGGAACATGTTAGCACAGGCCAATGGGCACTCACACAAATGGAGAACGATCAGATAAATAGACAGACAGATAGACAGACGGACAGACAGACAGAGAGACAGACAGACAAACAAGGTGTTTTACAATTGACCCAAGCACGCTTTGTTGCGTCCACATGAATGTCATTCGAAAGCTGTTTGATCAAACCACCGACGGATGAGAATGACCTTAAACACCAGGCCAACACAGAAGCAGCAAGCGGTCAGCTGTGAATGATGATGATGATCAGTACACCGCAGGATCAGTACAGTTGATCCTAGAGAATGCATATACCTCAATTTGGTGACGGAGTGAGAGAAACAATCGACCCAGTGCATTTACGGATCCATGAGGGAAGGGCTCTGCACTGACTGGATCACGAGTGACACAGAAACAGACACACTCACACACGGACTGGTAACTCGCCGGGATTTGGTATTATACATTCGAAAGTTACTGAATGCATAGAGCAGCCTTTGAAAATTTGAGGTAGGGTTGAATCTACTTCAAAGGGAGTTCGCCGTGTATAGAGAAAATGAAAGGTGAACTGCAATGCTAGGAAGTACATCTGGACAGCTATTTCAACCTGGTTGAGTTTCATTGGCAGTGAGCGAATCCATCTACCCGACTGGGGACGGAACCCGGGACCTCAGAGCCAGAACGCATACAAGCTGTCCACTCGGCCACCGGTGGGCAGCTGATCGGACAGTTTCCATTTTCCATTTACATGATACAGCTCAACCAACCCACCTTTTCAAGATTGTTGCCGGGCCATGGACCTCGTTCATCTCAGCACTAGCCTCTGAGGCTATAACTCGGTTGGAAACATTCATGTGATTAATAGGGGATTGGATACACGATGAATTCCCTTTTCGAAATTGAATGAAATCCTCCAGTACGCCGTGCGAATCCCACTTCCCCGAAACATTGTGTTTCATTCGCTCTCTCTCTCTCTCTGTCTCGCTCTGGCTCCGAAACTGAAACCCCCCATTTACCGAGTGATGCTGCCTCTTGCTCAAATTTGAAATAAAAATGGTCAATTTAGAGCGTCAGTGTTTGGGTTAGCCCATTCTGNCCATTCTGTTTTTCACAGACACCAGGCGCTGTTGATGACGATGCTCAGTGTGAGTTTCACTTCTTGAGAGATCGTTAATTCTACACTATTTGAACCCATTCAAATACGATGGATATGTTTGTGATAACCATCACAGAGCACTGGACAGCTGTTTAGTCCTGTTTGGGACTCTTTGGTAGTGCGTACTTTTTGTGTCCCCGTGTCAGGACTAGAACCGCGAACTGTCGGGTAGGGACTTCAAACCCTTCAAACCCTGAGCTACACGATCGACACGATCATCACGTTGTGCGAATGGCTCAGTCAATTTTTGAGCAGCCAGCTTGGATTAGCCCAGTTGATTGTCAAGAGATACCAGGCACTCTTGATTTTCTTGGGTGTGGATTTTGCTCTTGGGAGATCATTAATTCTCCATATTTTCATGCATTTACATGTGATAGAAATATTTGTGTTACCCGACAAAGAGCGCTGGACAACTGTTTCGTCCTGGGATTCGTCAGCAGTGCACAACGGTTTCAAAAACACACACATTCAAGCTTTTGATAACTTCACTATAGTTAACCCCTGGACCGCGTGAATCAGCACTAAAACACTATCTGATCAGAACCCGGTACCCCACGAAACGGACGAAAGTGGATGAATGACAAGTTAAGTCAAATCAAGTCAAAAATCGCTTTATTCGTCCTAATGGATTGATTCGCAGTTTCTTGCGTTCCGGGATAATTTAGCAACGCATACAGTTACAAAGAAAATGTGAAAAAACAGCATCGTAAGTTCAAAAGAACGAGTGGCGTAAAAGTTTGCAAGTACATATCAGTTGCGTAGGTAATTGAAAATGTTTTCTCTAACGGATGGCTTTTGAGCCAGAAATCTCAAAAGATAGGGGATGACAGACAAACGATAGGCAGTGGTACGAGCACAAACCAGTTTAGAACGGCATCCAGTTACAGACGTGGATAGTCTTCAGTCTTCAGGATTGAGGGCAGAGGGCAGGGTGCCCGTGTAAGCTTCATCACCACTGGGTCGAAGGTCCGATCACAAGTGTTCGTTCCTCCATAATCCCTTCAGGTGCTCATCCAGACGCCGGTTGAAAGCAGCGTCTGTTTTATCTTCCACACAATCGCTGGAAGGGAATTCCAGAGTGTTGTTGACCTACACGAAAGCCGGTAGACTAACGGAAGATCAACTGATTGAAGTTTCCGCAACGTGAGAGAGTGCCCCCGCGTGCGGCGCTCTATCCTTAAAGGGAAGTACTGTTGCAGCTCCGCATTGCTTAATTTCTCTGTGTAGTGAGTGAGTGACCTCTGCTGAAAAATGTTGTTGTAGAAGTTAGTGCAAGAGGTAAAATGTTTGTCGGCGATAAAGTTAAGCAAGTGCAACTAAGTAATACCGCTTGTGCGACCGGCGTAGAATTGTGTAATCCTTAAATCTAAGACCGGCACATAAAACTGGGGAGCAGTAAAGAAGATGAGTAACAACATAAGAATATACAAATCGGGTGAGTAAATATCGTGAAACTTTCAAAGAACACAAGCGGGTAATAAAGAAACACAATCGTCGAATGTTTTCAAAAAAGAATTTAAATGTGGCAGATAGTGACACCGAGATATTGTAGAGAACTTACTGGATGAGTAGGCTGGTTGTCAACATAGAGTACAGAAAAATTCATTTCAAAAGAATATAGTTATTCTACTTTGGCGAGCGAGCAGATTAAATCCCTACATTAAGAGACATTGGGAGATAATTTGGAAATCGAAGACCGTAAGCTTAAGGCAGTTAAACTGGTTTGAAGCTGTGAGAAGCGGAAATCACCTTGGAATTTGGAACCTATTGTGTTCATCATCAGCATACCTAATGAGAAGATCATCCGAGTTAGTGGGAAGGTCACGAATATAGAAAGAGAAAAGAAAGGGGAACAGAATTGCTTCCTGGAGCACCCCTAAGTTGGCCGGTAGGGAATTAGACGTTTTACCAAGAAATTTCATGAATTGTGTTCTACCAGCAAAATAATCCTGGAGTAGAGAGAGAAAGAGAGGGTATTATGGGACAATCCAGTACCTTGGAGTAGAGATAAAAGCCTGCTCCTGTCAACACAGTTAAAAATATTTCCATAGTCAACGGAAATACCAACGAAATGCTGTGCCGTACATGCATCTAGGGATCGCAAAACTGAGTTTACCAAGTGCACAAGAGCATCTAAGGTAGAACGTTGTTTGTCATAAGCGAATTGGTTATTATCGAGGTGTCCAGTGTTAGGAATAATGTTACTAAGCATAAATTTTCGACAGTTTTTAGTAAAACAGAAGTATAAGCGATTAGTCGGAATTCCCTAGCTTCTTTTTTGTCACTGATGTGATGCTCACAGGTCTCCAACAGTCAATAACGTTTTGTTCCTCGAGACAACAGATGATTGAATGATTGGACATAGTCCATCAGGACTTGGAAGCTTTGATGTTTTTGAGGCATATCACCTATACCCGCACATGATTAGGGACTAACACGATCGAGAGTGAACAGTTTGCAAACGTCCAAATGAGGCGAATCGAACAGAGACAGTTAAACAGATTGACAGACCGACAATGTGCAAATTGGTTGCGAGCGAACGGGGTTCTCGCAATAGTCCCGGCTGTACATGTTCTCATTCAGAGCTGTTTGACATTTTTATCTTGTATATCCAGCTCCAAGAATGATGATAGTCAATAACCGGATGTAGATGACCGTTGTCTGCAGTTGTCTGTGAACAGATAATAGGTTTGCCAAAGTTTTGAAGTAAAGTAAGGCTAACAAATCCCACAAGCCGGAATCACTAGGCTTTATTTTATTAAAAACCTGTACCGAACACTTTACAACACCCAGTACTGAGTTGTTCAATGTGTGCATGTCCTCTGGAACAATCGCGGATTGATGGACGGGGGAGTGGGGAGTGGGGGGGGGGAGGAGGCTGCTCGGATAAGATCCATTCCCAAGAAAGATTCTTCAAAATATCAACCGATCACTTGTACTCCAATGCTGTTGAAAGCTTTCAAAAAAGAGTTCTGTTGAATCGGTGTACTACGACACTGTCTGACGTTCTCGATCCTACAAGTGTGACTCACAGTTACTTGTGAGTAGTGGTGTGGGTAAATTGCTTTTTTAATAATTTGAGCTATTCTTCGGACTTCAACCTCACGCACAATCCTCAGTTCATCGATTCGACCATACAGTCGGAAGCACTA